GTTTATAATAAATAGAAAATATGTCATAGATGTATATATTGAGATTAAAATTGAAATACGATTAAATTTGAAATTTACCGTTATAGAACTAGTATGTCAACTGGTTGAAGCTTTTTGGTATCTTGCTGACCGCTTAAAAACTAGGGCACTGGTAAAATTAGAAAAAAAATGGGTGACATATACTCTTTTACTCGGTCGCATACTCTTTAATCCTCAGAAAAAAGCGTTTAAAAATATATTTTGCAGTAGAAATAGCAACCTTCTTTCGTTCTTTTATTTGCATGATTAAGTAAGCTTGTACATATGTATTATATGTTTACTTGATAGCAAGAGAATAAAAACAACCTTATCATATTAGTTGTGATAATGATTATGACATTGTAATTTATAATTGAGAAACATTTATTACTTAATAACCCTTTTGATTCAAAAATAGGATACTGACACGGAACTTATAGTTAAATAGATCTCGATGAAACGCATTCAATAACACATGTTGCATCGTCATTGCACTTTAATACGACCTTCTTTAGGCAAAACATTCAGTTTTCAAAATCTTAAAAAGCGTTATTATGTGTAAATAACTTATTTTAGTTTTAGACTGTTCTTCAAGCCGTAATGAGTCTATGTTTGAGATTATAACTGTTTAGATTGATAACTTCCAAGAATTTTGCAAAGGTCTCTGGATTGAATGAATAAGACATCATGTTTACTATAAACGAAATGAATTTGAACTAGATCGACGGATATTTCTGCTTGGAAAAATGACTAAAACTTCTTACTATTCAAGGAAGCTTCTCTTTCCCCGCTTTCAATAAAAATGAATAATACCTTCAAAAAAGAGTCGATTGATATGAAATAAGTGCAGTTTTATTCACAATGTGTTATATATGGTTATTGAAAAGTCTTGTGAGACACTTTGACATGAATATGTAATTTAATTAGGTGATCTTCAGGATTTTTTAACGGTTGACAAAAGTTATTCTAACACACCATTATTCTCTGATAGAATATAATGACAGCAAGTTTAAGTGTCTTTATCAAAATACTACGAGTGATGTTTTCAATCGAAGGTTATTTCACTTCATCAAAACCACAATCAAGAGTCTATTTTTTTTTAACTAAATTTCCGAAATGATTTCTTTGATATTTTGTTAGCGATTATATTTAAATTTGACTAATCATTCGAAGAGAAATATTGAATTTTTTTGTAAAAGTTTACAAAAAAAAATCCGAATATGTGGACCATGTCTACATTCTCATTCATATCCATCTTCACTATACAAGATTAAAAAGGAAACCAGGTTACTTTATATATGTTTTATTTTTTAATTCAAAAAATCATCTGTATAATTATATGTTTGATAGCTAATGTAGATATGTCTTGTCATAGAAGATAATCATAACGAAAAGATGTAATATCATCTAAATATCTTCGTTGTATACAACACAATTTTTATATAGATTTACTATTTTCCAGATATATGAACGAATTTATTTTAAAATATATTTTTATGTTTTATTTGTCAATTTATACTTTCAAATTTTTAAAATGATGAAGAAATTTTTTCGATTAACTTAAACTTTTTTTTCTTTATGATATTTCTAATGAAAGATATTTTTTCTTAATATATTATATATCAATATATATGATTAAAAAACATATGAGAACATTTCTAAGCAAATCATTTTTGTTCGTCATTATAAAGTCTTTTTTTTTTTTCTTCGATTATTTTGAACTGCACAAGGACAAAAAAAAGAGATGCAAAATCAAGTTTTCATTACTCAATAATAAGTTCTATTTGTTTTACTGAAATTTATTTATGATTTATTATTCATAACTACATTAATATTCAAATTGAAAAAAATATTGAAATATTTTGGTGTTGTATTTTGATTTTCTAATTACAATCATGTTTATATTTATCTATCGAAAATGAAATAAATCAATAAATAAAATCTAATTCTATTTTATACAATATGGTAACGTTTTTTCTATTTCGAAAGCTTTTACATTAATGAAATTTTTTCAACTGTTTTATGTTGATACAATAACTTGGTCAGAGAAGTCATATATATATATACTTTCAATTCACTTAAAAAATCGATATGATTTTTCACTAAGATATCTCTCAATAGTTTATAAGTGAGATGATGAATACTGTCAATGTCCGAAGTACGGTTATTAAGTGTAAACTATCGATATGATGATGATTTCTATTATTATAAATCATTTACTATTAAGATTATTACAAGTAATAAAGATGAAGAACTTTCTTTATCGATCGAAAAAAGAAAAGTAAGATGTAATCGGATAATTCATGTTAATTATTAATCAACAATAAATAAGTCTATTGATCATCAAATTTATTTACATTTGATTTAATATCTTTGATTTCTGGAAGTTTTTTTTTTCTTTTCTTTTCAATGAAATAAAGCAATAAAAGAAAAATTATGTGATAATAAACAGGATCATTCTTAGTAACAATGTCAAGAACAAAACAAAAAAAAAGAGCAAATCCATCAAAATTATTTTAAATAAATAAATGAAATTTATTTTCTTTCGCAAAAAAAAAAATTAATTAAACTATACATTTTTATTTTTTTTTTTAATAATATATTGTTAATAATAATCGATACATAATAAAATCAGTCATTAATGTGACTGTTCTCGACATTTCTATTCATCTTTTTGTTCAGACATAATTTGATGATAAATAAATAAGAAAATATTTTCTCGTCTATATCTTTCTTAAAAAACATAAATGATAATCATGATTGTCATTGAACAGTAGTGAATAAATAGAAGAAAATTCTGTTATTTCACATAGATAGGATCATATTTCTTTTTTTTGCTTTTAGCACCAACAACATGCATAGAATTGACATCAATATATATTAAGAAATGATTGCAATCCATTTAATATACATTGAGATGTAACAGTAGAGCATTGAAATTCTCTCTATGTTGCCAATCAAAACAATCATTGAGTGCAAAAAAAAAAAAAGAATTGATGGACGTTTTTCAAGAGAACAATCGTAGCAAGACACACTAATCTAACAAGAGGTTCATTACTAAATAGAGTTAAAAAATCTATCATGTTAATTTTGAATAAAAAAAAAACAAAACAACAAAGAGACATATACCGTTTATTTGAGTAGTATATAGAAAAAAATGAAATAATAGACACAGATGATTTTCTTTTTGATTAATTCTAACAATGAAATTCTCAACTATATTATGCAAATATATGAAACCTTCATATAACACATTTTGTTTCTTTTTTTTTAAATATATGTAACAAATAATAAATATTCAACTTATTTTATTCTTATTTTTAAATTTAATCATCATATCAGTGAAATAATTGATATATGCTCGATCACTGAGAGAAGTAGAGTAAATAATAAAGTATTATTAATTGTTGGAGAAAAAAAAATGGATAAAATAATGATCGGTAGCTATTATTTAAAACAATATCTTCATTTGTAAAGAATAAGAAGTATTTTAGATAATGCATTGTCAACTCAAACAACAAATGTTATAAAAGTATCATGTCTTCATCATCAAGTACGTACACTTTTTTCTTTCAGTTATCATGATTTAATCTAGCATCATCATCAATCAATATTAAAAATACCATCAAATCGTACTATTCATGTTAATATTCGATCAACAAATGATAAATCTATCAATCGATATACAAGTTTACATTCAGTTCGATATATTTTTTGATTTTTTCTATTAGCTTATTTTATCTATTTTAATTCTTAGACACCTATTGCTGACTACAAAATGTATCATTATCGAGATGATGCACAAAAGACAAGAAATAATCGAACATTTCAACAACATTCAAAAAATATTTTAGATTTTGTAAGTATTACAAAATTTTATACATATTTTTGTTTTTTATCATATCAGTAAATTTCTTTTTTTTTTGTGATTATAGTCTAATTCATATTTTATCAAAGTTAATGATTCAACAAAAAATTCTCAACAATATATGAATTTATCAACAAACTCTGATAATATGGAGAATTATTCACAGTCAATTATTGTAAAAACTAAAATTCATCGAAAACAATTGATCTTAATGTTTAGTATACATTTGTTTTCTCAAGAAAAAATAATATTTATTCTTATATAGAACTTTATTAAGAGCGCTTCATCCTACCAAAAAAAAAAATCTAATTAAGATAGTGAACGTGAAATATTGACAATACTTTATATAGACATCCGACTCATAAAAGCACATCCTTCATGTGTTACCATTACGAAGTTTTCAATGGACCAAGTTGCACAGCTCGAATGCATTCATTTGAAAAAAAAAGCTTTTTACTATTTTAATGTTTACAATCATCATTACTATAATTCTAATTGTTCTGTTAACAAAGTCCAAAACAACAACAACGTGTAAGATAGAATATATTTCTCTTTGTTCTCATTTGTATTCAATCATTTACATGAATAAATTTACAGGAGATGAATCTTCCGAGTATATTTGACAATTTAATTAAAAAATTTCTCAATTTGTTCCCAGGAGATTCAATCCGACCTGTAGATTCGATCGAAAACGATCGGATCCGCCTCGGATTTCATCGGAATCCGACATCTTTCATAAAAAACCGCTCGGATCCGACAATGTTTTTGTCGGATTCCCATCAGCCGGATTCCGGTCCGGATTTCATCGGAATTCGACGGAACATGATGAAATCCGGGCGGGATCAGGTCGGATTTTATCACGTTCCGTCGAATTCCGATGAAATCCGGACCGGAATCCGGCTGATGGGAATCCGACAAATATAGGACCGGATCCGACCGAAATTATTCCGAACTGGCGAGATCCGACTGGGGTCGTTTGACCTGGGTTTTAATCATCATTGATAGAAAGAAAAATTTCTTTTGATTTAATGAGTATCTTTTTTATGAAAGCATTTATTCATTTTTTTTTTCTATATATCGAGATAATGATTTTTCTCAGAAATAATTTTTTTGTTGTTTCAATGAAATAAAAGTTGCATTTTTTATTTTATCTTTTAGCTCGAGTAGCTATACTTCGATGGAATCAAACAAATATTACTGTAGCAGGTATTAGTGGAACATCAGGAAATGTCAGTGATCAACTCAATACACCAGTAGATGCAATACTAGACTATCAAAATACACTATATATTGCAGATTATAATAATCATCAAATTCAAAAATACTTAGTGGGTGCTTCACACGGTACAACTATATGTGGAAATGGAACACGTGGTTCATCTTTAAATCAATTGGCATTTCCTTCACAGGTGCTGGTTGACTTCAATGGAAATATTCGTGTGACAGATTTAGGAAATCATCGAATTTTATTCTATAATGGTACATCAACGGGAATTCTTATTGGAAGTACTGGTAAGTAAGAATGATAAATATGTATTTTCATCGTTTGATCGACTAAATAATTGACTTAATTCATTGACATTCGATATGATGTTAGCAAGGCTATTCAAGAAGAATTATGTTCTAGAGATTATTTTCGTATAATTGATGATTGATTTAGTCGTTATGTAATTCTCTTTTTTTTTGATTTTCTAAGATAACAAAATATTTCTTTTGACCTCAGCCACAATTAGAATTAGATTATAATTCAAAACTTATTGAAAATGTTCTATTTAAAATGATCCATTATTAAGTGAGACTATGCTCGTTACATTTTCTTACATCATGATGTAGCTTACAAAGACACGTTATCAATCATTTATTTTAAAAAATTATTTAAGCATTAGAATTTTATGTTATTAGAATAAACTTTATCTTATAAGAAACTATTCATTCTGAATATATCTGATATATGCTTATGAGATGAAAGATATAATATTATAAAAACTGTTCTAGGCAAGTTTGTCTTCAAAAACAAAAAGGTGAATTCGTTAGCTCTCGTCATGTCGATCTCACCAGATCATACAGTACTAAATTTAATTACTTTCTTGAATAGTTTCTCAAGATTGGTTTTAGAGAATTATAGATATATATATTTAATGTAAAATAGAAAAATTCATAAGAAAATTTATTTTAGGTGGTTACGGTGTTTTAAACAATCAATCTAGAAATCTTTACGGTATTGAATATGATTCTGCTTCCGATACACTTTACATAGCAGACTATTCAAATCATAGAATCATGTGTTATGTATCGGGAGCATCATCAAGTTCTTTGGTTGCTGGCAATGGTACATTGGGAATTGGTATCACACAATTAGAATACCCTGTCCGTATTTATCTTGATTCATTCACAAACAATCTTATCATTGTCAATCATATAGCCAATAATATTGTTCGTTGGCCATTAGGTGACAGTAGTTGGACACTGGTCGCTGGTGATATCAATGGAAATGCCGGAAATAATGCAACTACATTAAATCATCCAACATATGTGATTTTAGATCCTATGGGTAACATGTATGTTGCTGATAGAGAAAATTCATTGAATACAATTATTTATGTATGGACAAACAGAAGGAATAACAATTGCTGGAGTAACAAGTGTTAATGGTAGTAATTCTACATTGTTTAATAAACCTTGGTCAGTAGAACTTGATAGTCAACTTAATTTATATGTTGCTGATTCATATAATCATAGAATACAAAAGTTTCTACGATATTGAAGAGAACTTGATTAATAAATATTACACTAAATAAATTGGACATATTTTGTTTTTTTTTGTTCATTTTCTTTAGAACATGTCTCATTTGTTATATCGAAGTCGATGAATACAGTTATTCATAATTTTCACTGTAACTTCAATATATGTGATTGTTTACAATTAGATCTGAGTGTCTACAGAAGATATGTAAGATAGTCTAGTTTTTTTTTCTTGTTGATATTTCTAACTTATGTATTGTATTGCATATCAAAAAATGTTCGATAATAAAAAAAATGATGACAAAGTTTTGAAAAAACTTAATTAAAGTACTTCTCATACTCTGGTTGAAGACTGTAAAATAATGTTTGCTTACTGTTGATCAGTTTCTTGGTGATTCATGTTATAGATAGAGCCATATATTCATTCTTGTGTGTAATTGTCGTTGAAAGATGCGTTTATATTTTCTATGACTAATAGTGATGTTTTTGAGCACAATGATTTACAGCTAAGAAAATTGACTAGGTCTATCTTATCTTGACTTCATTGAAAATTCATTTGATCGTCTTTCGACTTTTTTTTCTAATTGGTACAAATTTGGTTTCTCGGAAAATTAATAGAAATAAAGTATGAAAATTTTATGTATTGCCAATCTTACAATAAAAATGCATATAATCATAGTTTAGCATTCTGATTATAGTATTTGGTTGTCAACAAGCATGTGGAGAATATGATAAATCACGGAAATAACCGGTTAGTTTTCTTGTACGATGTTTAACAAGATAGTAACGAGAAGCACAATTCGATTACGTCTAATCTGAACTGAAATGAAAGTTCGCATACGATTGGTTTACGATAAACGAATGTCTCTCGCATTTATGAGCTTGAATTTTTTAGGATTAATTTTTCTATGATCTCAATCGAACTGAGTTCCATTCAAATCGATTTCTTAGGAGATATTTGATGACATTGAAAGGATTTGATCTGTATTGTACACAAACTATAATTCATCAATGTACGATAAATGAAAATGATTGAAGGACAAGGGAAAATCAATTCGACAATCGAATCTTACGATCACCAAACATTTATAATTGATTTCATTGTCTTTCTCCAACTAAATCGATCAAAAACGTATTGAATTCTAATGAATTCTCATTTATTGAAAAAGAGCGTTCTAAGAGATGCAGTACAAACTGATGAAGGTGATAATGATCAAATGAAGGATATATGAATCAATATTATCGAGAAAATTCATTGTATCATTGATATCCGCAGAAAACGAACTGACATATGCATCGATAATCAGAGTGGGAAATAGGTATCGATAAGAGTTTTGTTATAGTTTATGTAACTAATACTCATTTCAAAAAAAAAGACGGGTGAATATTTTTTGAATAATTTTTGAACGGATTGAGCTAAAGAGCTGCAGTTTGCACTATTGGCAAGAGAAGATGAAGATACATCGAACCATGTATAAAAACATTTTCTGAATACGTTCCTAACAGTTTGAGTCAAATGTTTTCCAAAAATTGCTTTTTTTTCGTATGTTAAAAAAAGTGATTTTTCCTCAAAAAAACTACAAAAACTTAAATTTTTTATTTATTTTGTTGAAAAAAATTGGATAGTAAATTGCATTCCAGCGGCTAGGATATCCTACTAGTAGTGGTTAGGTATAGGATTTTTATATAGTTTTGTAGCTCTTCATTTGTTGGTTCTAGCCCACTCCAGAAAAACCAATAAATTAATATCGCGATTATGAGAAGCATGCTGTTTTTCTAGAGTCTTTATGTAAAACTGTTAGGAAAGTAGCCAGAAAAATGTTTTCATTTATAGTTCGATGCATCTTCATCTTCTCTTTTCAATGATGAAAATCGTAGCTCTCAATTTTGTTTCTCACAAAAGTTATTCGAAAAATGATAATCTACCTTTTATTTTGAATCATAAATACAGTGATTCAATTATTGAGTTGAGAGAAGCACCTATAACATTTTTTCAGAGTTTATAAGATGACTTCAATCGGAAAACATATCGTAAGGTCTACGAACTCAACAATGTTGACATGAATAAAGATGAGTTGATGTTTTTTTTCTAAGATTTGAGTCCAAATGTCCATTCTGTGTTATATGCGTCTATTACATAAAAAAGATGTAGAAAAACTCTCTCTATTGACAAAAAAAGTGTAGAAATTCTGAAAAAATTCAATAGTTACAAATAGTAAATGTTGGCTGGTTAGTTATTTAATTACAAAAGTTATCACATGTCTCAAACATCTATTGTAAAACAATTGACAGAAAAAGTATTCATAAGCTATCAACCTTTTCTTTCTGATACGAGTCGAACTAGCATCAACGATAGGCCTTTCAAAGTGACTTGAGTCATTCAAGTAATATGAAAACAAACTCGTAAAACCAACAATTGCTATTAAGAAATCATGTAAGTTACGTTATGCAATCCCAAAAGCTTCCAAAAATTAGATGGAAAATCAAAACAACAGAAAGTTGTATGCAATCCAAGAAAACTAGCTATGAATATTCAAAGCAGAACTATTCTAATGTGAGTTAATAAACTGTTTCAATAATGTTGTCACACTAATCACTTAGCTCTTGAACAGACATTTTAACGAAAACACATCATATTTCAATGACGATAGAGGATTTCTGTGTTGCTATTCAATGAAAACCTACTACTTGATTCGAATGCCTTTGTGTTACAAACATGATACACATTTTCAAGAACATATGTAAAGAGCCCTATTTCACATCAATTCATTTAGGGTGTCCGTGTGAATGTTGATGTTCTCTTCAATCACACCTCCGAAACCCCAATCCGTTTTCCTTCCCCTCTTCCCATCGACTACTACTGCAACACTCACACCTACACCCATACATAGACTCACACTCACACTTAAACTTCACACGCAATTTTTATTTTGATCGTTATGAAAATCTCAATTACATAATGTGAAAATCATAGAAAAATTTTTGAGCCAAAGTAAGTATGCGAGTGTTTATGGGCCTTGTCCAGTTGGACAAACGACTATTTCTCGAATGCATATACGTTGAGGTTGTTGATATGCAAACATCACACATCTTGCCGTGTCTTCGGTGGTAAGTGGTTGCCCTATGTATTTCTTTAGCGCTTTGCAGTTTTCGACGATTTCCTTGTCCGTCGAATGATTTAATATTTCTGTTTCGACAGCTCCTGGTGCAATGTTAATCACACGAACATCGTACTGAGACACTTCTTCACGAGTCTGTTCCGTGATTGCATGGACACCAAACTTTGTCGCGCAATATACGGCATAATTTGAAAAAGTCTTGCGACCTCCAAGTGAACTCACATTGACAATCGTCCCACCACGACGAGCCACTGAAAAGATCAGTACAAAAAAAAACAATAGATTTATCATGGTTATCTTCGTTTGGTGTTGCCCATACGCTACTTACCCATCGATGGTAGTACAGCATGGATACCATTCAGAACGCCCATAAGATTTGTGTCAAACATGCGTTGCCATTCGTCTGGATTTTGTGTTTGCACCTTGCCGAGTAGCATGACACCAGCATTGTTGATCAAACAATCGACTGGACCGTATTTCTGTACGGCATCATCGATAGCTTCTTTGAGTTGAGCTCTGTTCGTAACGTCGACTTGAGCACAGATAACATTGCGTGTCATGTTCAACGCGTGCAGACGATCGAGTCGACGAGCAACAAGCAAGAGAGGATGTCCAGCATCGTAGAATGCTTTAGCACATGCTTCGCCAATGCCGGATGAGGCGCCAGTTATAACAACCAGGAGCTTTTGGTTAGGTGAGGCCACGGTTTGGAGTAGTGCGACGATATACAGAAGGCAGTTAGCAAGAATGAAGAGAGGTAAAAAAAAGACTTCTTGTCGTTACTGTACTGATAAGAAAGAAGGAGAGGAACAACGTTAAGATAGACTACTATCTCCTTCTTTTTGCTCTAACTCCACAATCTTCTTGCTTATATGATAGTCTATGGTTGTGCAATTCATGAGAAAATGGCCAGTCATTTTGCAACACAGACTAGTATACCTGTTAAGTTCGTAACCTTATCAAAATAAGCTGTTTTTTCTATTATCGAGATAACCCTCGATAACTCTGCTATCATTTCATTATCTTAGTCATCTTACACTTTGTCTTCTATACGGTGTGATCATTTGTCCACAATCTCTTTATTCTACATATGGTATGATCATTGTTATATATGCGCTATTGTGCACAATAATGGCGTAATTCTCTAAGTTCATACACCATAAGGCATATAAATACGCATAAGCTTTCTCATTTTTCTTTTCTCTCGTCTGGTTGAACTTGTAAGTTTTTTATTTTATTTTTATCAACTATATAATCAGTGCTAATACTTTCTCAATACTAACAGTGAGGAGATTTTAGAATAAATCTTAGACAAAAGCATTTAGAAGACATATTTCTTCATACTTTCGTTGTTGATTTGTAATGAATGCTCGTTTGACATTAGAAGAAAAGAAACACATTGTTTGGTTTAGTGGTTGATGTAGAAAATATTGATCTGAGTGAGTCAAAAGTAATACATTTTCTGTCACGATTTCTATATGAGTGAAACATAATGATGAAATTTTTAGACAATTGTAGCGAGATGGTAAAGAGGTGATGAGACATTGCTATTTAAACAGATCAGGCTGCACTAGTATTATTTAGCAAGTTTTGAAATTCATCAACTCAATATAACAGTTTACTTCTCAGTGTGAGTTGTAGTAGTTTCAACAAAGTTTCGGAAGTTTAAAACCGGACCCAAGTCATTAGTTTCTGTTCGACTGGAGGACTAGAATATTTTGATACATTACCCAAAAAAAAAACTAGCGTAATCTGATACTTGTCTGATGAATATCATTATTCCGTTTGAACAATGCATACTAGATTCACTAATTTCATGTAGTTGGGAGTAACACATGTTTGTGCATTGTCATTCTTCGATCTCGTGAAGCGACAACCGTCTAAAAGACTCAGCAATGTGTAA